CTTACCCGATTAAGAAAATTGGGCGGTTTCAATGAGAGGGAGATTTTTTCTAGCGAAGGCTAGCGTTTTATGGCTGTTAGCGGAGTGCAGAGTTTCATTTAATAATCAATCATAGTTCAGAGTTTAGTCCTTGTTGAAATTGATGGTTGGACATCGGTCTTTAATTGACCGTGAGTACAAGCGATACGTGCTGGCAGGTGACAAGTCGTTGGTATATTTACGCCATCCTAGTGGTGTAGTTGTGGTGACGTTAAATAAAGAACATGAAGCAAATCAGAAAAAAATTGTTAAGTTCGAGTGGAGAATAAAGAAGAATAAAGGAGTGGATCGAAGCAAGCAAAAGGTTTCTGGGAAGGCTAAGAAAGTAAGTTGGGCATTCTTTGTCGTACGGTTAGTTTTATTTACGCAGTCTGAAAAATGTGTACATTATAGTCTTATTGTTAGGGCATGCATGGTTTCTTTTGACGTACTTGAAGCCATGAAAACGGAGGATATGGTTGCTTAATAATTGGCTTTTTCAAATTTTTAAGTAAGATATCTGTAGTTTCTACTTTTAGTAAGAGTTGCAAGACAGTGTTTTAATGTTGATAATTTCTTCATATTTTCTTGTTGTTTAAGGGAGGTTTGGCTCTTTTGCCAGAGACGAAGTTATGCGTTCTAAAATGTGACGATGGAAGCGAATATCCATTACGTGCTGGCGTCAAAGCAATTTTAGTTGAAGTAAATGATCGTTTGATCGACAATGCTGAATTGGTGCATACGGCACCCGAAAACCAAGGTTATATTGCAATAATAATGCCTTACAGCAGTGAGAGACGTAAGGCGCCAGCAGCTTTTACTGAACATGTAACGGATTAGAGTCTTATTTTTATTAACTTATTCAGACGTATCAGGATTGTTTGATGCTGTTATCAGTTTTTTTTTCTAATTGAATTTTGTTTAGCGATCTCATTTTTTATCTTTTTTCAGTAAAAAACTTAATGATTGGATTACTGTTATAAGAAGCTAGTTATTAGTTTATTGGATAACTGAATTTAGCCGGGAAACGTTTCACTTTCCCATATTTTTTTCGTTCTGTACTTATCAGTCATTTCTTGAAGCTTTTATTTGATAAGAAGCTGTTTTGTTTTTCAAGGTAATATATGGAAAAAACTGCTGTTCGGTGACCAACTACTCTGCGCTGTTGTTCTTTTTGATATTAATGTGAGTATCAGAAACACCCAGTAAGTGATTAAAATAAAAAATAAAACTGGTGAATATCAGTAATTGTCCAAAATTAATTTTTATATTTTGTTAGGCTAGTTGGTCTTTAAGACAAAGTTGTTTTTGTTGGATAAATTGTTACTTTGTTATTTTTTTTAGATGTTTGAGAAGAGAAGATTATTCATGTGAAATTGTGCATGTCGCTGAACAATTCTTCATCGTGTTTTTACTAAACCTTAGTTGACAACAGTGTTCTTTTTTGAAGTTGTAAAATTGGATGGATTACTTCAGAAAGTGCAACTTTGTCGAAGAAAGTGTAAAGAAAGTTAAGGTTTGAGCTTAACGCCAACTAAAACTGCAACTATCAGTGTTTTTTGACGGGCATTTCAAACCGCTAAATAGCCTATTTCAATGAGTGGCAGTGTTAAAGTAATCGTTGAGTTTGCCGCAGTTTAAATGTATGTGGAATATTTTAAGTGACAAGAGAGAGAAAAAGAAAGATGTTTAGAAATAAAAAATGCGATTACTCCGAGTAACAGATCTTTGATTTTATTTTAGTAGAACATTTTTATTTTAGAACTATCAGCTGTCATGATGAATTTCGTGTTGGTAATTTGATATAGCGACGGTCATTTGTGAAATGGATTGCCAGGTGAAGGATCACGGTAAAAATGAAAAAAAGAAAAGATGTTTTTGCTTTTCTGGTATTTTTGGGCAAAAAAAATTTGAGTGTCACGACTTTAGGTTAAAAGTTTATGTAGTAAAACTATAGTGTTCAAAAGCCAACAATTCGTCTTGATCATACTATGCAGCAGTGGTTTAAATTTCTTAGAATTCTTCTAAAAACTCAAAGCATTAGGTAGCAGCAAACTGCGTGACAACAGAAGGCAACTTTGTGCGTTGATTATAATGGAGTGTTTGAACGTAAATGTTTTTAATAATAGAGTTTTCTTTTTTGTTTTTATCTTTTAACTAGGACTAGAATGAAGGTTGAAAGATTTAAGATTTACAATGCTTTTTTTCTGTAAGTTAAGTTTTTACACTCTCAATTATTTTTGTTATCTTCTATTCTTTAAATGGTGCTCGCTGATATTCTCT